TTTTTTTTTTTTTTTAAGGTTTAGATGTGCATTTACTGGAAGGCTTCTTTTGAATGAGCTAAAGAGACTTGCTGAGGTCTGTATTTATGCTGACCCTCCAAATTGATGGCACCCATATGTGAAACTGTGTACAGCACACCGTCTTCTTCTTCTCCTCCTCCTGTCTTATCCTTACCTTTAAACATTGCAGAAAGCAGAGAGCGAGAGCGTGGAACACCGTGTTGAAGGGAAAGTAATATAGGATGTGAGGTTGGGGAATGGGGCACCTATTTCTCAGGAAGAGTTGTACAAGATAAAGTGATGGCATTTCCTTAGTCATTGTTGAATGTGGGTGATGGACATTTATCACACTAGTTCTGTGTATGTCTGAACTGTTTCAAAGGAAAGATATGACTTACGAGATGATGGGAATAGTAGCCAGCCAGGATCCTGCCCTTCTGTTGCTCATGCTCTTGGGTAGCCAGCCTCCCCACCTCTGAGTCAGGGCTGGCTGGGGACCAAGAGAGCACAGGGGAGGCCGCAGGGCTTTCTTGTAAGAGCTAGGTCATTATGGCTTCCGTCCTGCTCTCTCAAGGATGTACTGCTGTGAGGGAAGTCAGCTGCCATGCTGAGGACACAAACAGTTATGTGGAGAAGCCCCCCAACAGCAGCCACACGAGTAAGTCACGTTAAGGGATTCACTTTTTTAAACCTTTTACTGGGGGCTGAGTGTCAGTTTACAGAGTACGTCAGTTTTCCATTCGATAATCGATTCACCTTTTCTTTCATCTCCTTGACTGCGATCCCTACAAAGTAATATCACTCATCCCACCGTCTCCCTGTGTTTCCTCTCACCCTTCTTCCCTGACCCTTCTGAATTTGGTCTTTGGGTAAATGCTGCCCTTCTGGGGTAGTTACATAATCTGGTGACAAGTTGGGACTTGAGAGGATTAAGAGTGAAGGGGTGGAGTCTAGTCTGTCAATCGGGTTATAGCTTGCTAAGATTTTTAAAATAAATAATTTCATTAGGGACTCTTACAACATTCCATACATCAGTTGTATCAACCATACTTGTACATGTTGCCATCATCATTTCCAAAGCATTATCTATTTGAGCCCTTGGTATAAGCTCCTCTTTTTCCCCTCCTTCCCCTACCCTCCTACCCTCGTGAATCATTAAAATATTTATTTACTTTTAAATCATTTTATTGGGAGCTCTTACAGCTCTTATAACATTCCATACATCAATTGTATCAAGCATACTTGTACATGAATCCTCTATCAATTATATATTGTTATTACTTCGTGTCTTACACTGTCCATTGTCTCCCTCCACCCACATTTCTGTTTTTTGTCCCCTTATGGGGGGCACTCTATATCCAACCTTGTGATGGGTTCCCCCTTTCTGACCATCCCCCACCCTCATGATATCGCTACTCCCACTACTGTTCCTGAGGGTTTTATCTGTCCCGAATTCCAGGCATCGAAAGTTCTTATCTGTACCAATGTGTGTTCTCTGGTCTAGCCAGATTTGTAAGGTAGAACTAGGTCATGGTAGTGGGGGAGGAAGCATTCAGGAACATGAGAAATGACGTGTGATTCGTTGGTGCTATACTACACCTTTGCTGAGACTTTTAAGAAGAAAATTGATCTCTGTCACATATCTTTGACCATGAATTTAAGTGAAGGTATTAACTCTTCATTCTGTGCAAGAACTGCTGGCTAACAGCTTCCTGGTGTTTCAGAGCCTGCTCCCCAGGCCTTCATGGAAGTGTAGGTTCTAAGTGATAGAGGAGGAGCAGCCATGGGGACTGAGCCAGGAAGAGAGGAGTGAATGGCTGCTCCTGTCTCGTGTGTGTGTGTGTGTGTGTGTGTGTGTGTGTGTGTGTGTG